CTCAGGGGCGCCTGGGTGGCTCAGTCGTTAAGCATCTGCCTTCGGCTCAGGTCATGATCCCAGGGTCCTAGGATCGAGTCCCACATCGGGCTCCCTGCTCAGCGGGTAGCCTGCTTCTCCCCCTGCCTCTCCCCCTGCTTATGTTCCTTCTCTCGCTGTGTCTCTCTCTGTCAAATAAATAAATAAAATCTTTAAAAAAAATAAAAATAAAAATAAGATGAGATACTCAGTAGCAGTTCCGTTTGGCAGACCCCCAAACATCCTTAGGGGGATTTGGAGGAAGATGCCAGTCCTAGCTTTATGTTGGGACTCCTAGTATGGACAGAGGTCAAGGAGAGGCCGTCTTGGCCAAAGCTGATTTCATTGACTTTGGGACCCTGACCAAGACCAATTCCTAAAGTCCACCTGGAAGAATCTTTGGGGCCAGCCTCCTGCCTCTACTCTCCCTAGTAGGCAGGACAGGAAGTTTCAGAGTTTAGTCCTACTTCAGACAAATCCTGGGGCTCATTCATTGATTTGCTGAGTACCTGCTGCATGCTAGGCATGGTGCCACAGACAGGTCCAGTGATAAACAAGACACGTGTAGGCTCCGCTTCTCTTCAGCTGAATTACTGGAGGAGATGGACATCCAACAAATAATTACACAAATAATCCTATTTTGTAATTATGGTAAGCGGTGGAGCCTTTCCTTAAGTGACTAAACTTCCTCTTGGTGTCTCTTGGTCTGAAATACGCTGTGATACAATAATTCACCCTTGAGAAAAGGAAGCAGAGACCAAGGTCCCAGGATGAGATGTTCAGGTGACATCCACAAATCTCGTGATCACGTACGAGAACTCGGTGCACGGCCCAGGGAAAGTTGCCTGTGGTCATTAGCTTTGCTTTTGGAGGTCATGTCAGACTCCACTGATAGTTTCTGGCAGAGCCTGTTTTGGGTTGTTCCTGGGGAAATAGGTGTGGAAAACAAGACAGACTGTTCTGTGATTGTTGTCTTCAGTCTCGGGAAGAGGAACTGAAGGTCAGGGCCATGCGCGTGTCCCTACGTCTGCACAGAGCAGCGTCGTCAGCTCCTTCCGGAGCTGCACTGGCTTCCCATCACTCAGATTGGTTATTACATCTGAGTTTTAGACCTTTCAACATTCTTCATACTGTTTGAAGAAGCTACAATTAACATCTCCCAAGCAGCTCAGCAGAATTTGATTGCTAGGCAGCAGACCTTTAAAGACAATTTGTCATTTTCTGCCGTAAGAGAGAAAAAATAGTAAACATTCACGTTCTTAGAAAATTACTTGTTTTCCAACTTCCAATTTTTCTAGCCATGGTAAGGCCTCCGGTTCATCAGTGTCCGTTTTATTCTTTATTTAGTTTTCATAAATATTTCAGAGGTATTTTAGGAGAATAATTGAGGCTTTTTCAAGCTTAACCTCTGGCAGTTTAAAAAAAAAAGGATGTTTGGGTGACAATTGGGTTGCTATATTTGTGGATAGGTTTTATATAAATGTACAGAGCCTCCTTTGGAAGGTACAGAGTACCCAGCTATACGTAGCCTTGGGCAGCAACACAGGAAAGTGGTGGCAGATCCGTGGAAGGCTCTTGAGCCATTCAGCCTTTGTTTAGCGCCTCCCAAGTGCTAGGCCCCGTGCGCACTGTTGGGCTCCAGCCTGTGGCCCAGCCAGACCTCAGCTGAGCTTACCTCCTTCTTATGGGGGCTACATGGTAAGAAACCAGGCGATTCCAATACAGGGGCGGTGGGAGGTCAGAGGAAGCCCAGAACCCAGCCTGGGATCAGGGAAGGTTTCCTAGAGCAGATGTGGACGGGACCAAGCCCTCCAAGATAAAACAGGCCGGCACCACTTTGGCAAGAGAGAAGAGCATCCCAGCAGGGTGCTTCTCTGTGCCAAGGGTCAAAAGTGCTCCACAGACTGATGTGTACCTGTGTGGCCACAGGGGCTGGCAGGCCCTGCAGCTCAGCCTGAGGGAAGCCGGTGGAAAGCCACCAAAGGGCTTGAAATTTGCAAAGGCCACCATCTGATTTGCATATTCCAGCCTTTGGGGAAGCCATGTGATTTGGCTTCAGTACGGGCATTGAGCACGTAGCCAAAAGGGGCAGGCAGGTTGTGGGGGAGAGCTGGTAGGCTCCAGAGTTTGTGGCCTGGGATCTTTTGCCACTTCTAACATGTAGGACCTGGTGCAGGTTATTTAACTAACCTCGGGTTAGAGTCCCAGAATAGGGATGATGGCAGCATCAGCCTCAGAGAGGTGGTGTAGGGACTAATACTAAATCAATTCAAGACCATCCCTTAGGCTGGTACCGGCTACACAGTGCTCTCTGTTGGCTGCCACCATCGTGATGGTGCTCCCCTTCTGCACTTCCATCAGTCCCCTGCCCAAAAGGGCCACCTGTGTCCAGTCTTCCACCTGCTCCCTGAGTGACCTGGGATGAAACACCCACCTCTCTTGGGGCTAGACTCCTACCCCTCCCTCTCTCTTTCCCTCCCTCTCCCTCTTCCCCTCTTCTTCTCCTCCTCTCTGCCCTTCCCTCCCTCCCTCTCCCCCTCTCCTTCCTAAATCTCTCTGATGCCGTTGAGCCTGGGATCCCTTCCTTCCTGCTGAGTTCTCAGCGCCACACCTGTTCCTAGCTCAGGGCCACCTCTCCCCTGCTGGTGGGGCTTGACATTCTGGTCTCTCAGACTCCAGCTTGGGTAGTGCACTGGTCCTTGGTCTTCGAGCCCTGCAGACCAGAGGCTGCATGTTGCTCTAGTTAGGTCCCTGTGCTTGGGGAGCTCTACGTATATCCTCGAGGTACCTCACCTTGTTGATGGGAGTTCAGAAAGCTCCTCCCTGGGGAGCAGCCAGCTGGGGGCCTCCGACTCCTCAGGTAATTTCCCAGAGAGGCCCTTTCATTCATTCATTCACTCTCTCAGTCACTATTTTCTGAGCACTTACTGTGTGGCAGTGGTCATGCCAGGCACTGAGAACGTAGCAGACAACAGGATTGCTGTAGGGGGGGGGGGGGGGGAGGTGGTAAAAAAAAAAAATAGCAACAGGTGGACACCAGTTAATTGTTGGGGTGTAAGTGCTGGGAAGCGAGGGGGGATGACGGAGTGGAAAGGGCCTTTGTGGGACGCTTGGCACTCCCTGAGTCAGGGTGATCAGGAAGGGAATCCTGAAGGAGATGGTGCTTATATGGTAGCCCAGGATGAGGGAATAGCAGTCGCTTTCAGACTTACCTGTGCATCTCTGGAGGGGCGCTTAGTGACGGTAGTGAAGGGGTGATTTCCGGGGCAAGATGACGGGTTGTCCCCGGTGGGAGGCTTCCCGTGGCATCAGAGGAACAGGGCTTTGGTCTGGACCCCACTTAGTTTACCGGGATCAAGAGAACTTGAGGCCTTGATGAGGCCACTGTGGGTGCAGTTCACCCCACCAGGTCCCGCCTCAGCTCCCGAAGGAAATAACCAAGCGCCAGTCCTGCTGGGGCTCTGCAGAGGCATCGGCTAGGAAAGGCCCAAGCCAGGAAAGGGAGACTTGGGAAGAACAGCACAGAAGCACCCACTGCCTAAGTTTGTGTTCTTGTATCAGCCGTCTTAACCGCTTGTTAATAAGATATGCAAATTATCGGGGCTGTGAAATCTTCACCGCATTTCATCTTCTGCTTAATTAGCATTTAATCGTAATCTCATTTTAATTTTTTCACACTGGCACCCTAATTAAACGTTAGAGTGTTAGTCTTAACAATTAAATTACGTTGGCAAATAGAGTCTTCAGGAAACTTGACCTTTTCCAAGCCGGGGCCCTCTCTAGCCAGATGCAAATGTTAATTAGATTTCTGGAAGATGCTGCCTTGAGTCCCCTTAGTGCACCCATTTCAGTTGTTTCCTCATTGTTGTGGCCCTCGATTCAAATGAGACACACACAGCCAGTGAGTTGGGCCCCTGGCAGGCAGAGGTTAGCACTGACCGGGTTGGTCATGGGCCTCTGGAAGGCCAGTGGAGCTGGTTTTTCTGGGGAGGGAGAGATTTGTTGGAGTTTGGTCTGAGGCCTGCAGTGCTCTTGGAAGTGGTTTCTCCACTTGTGATTCTCGTTTGATAATCCCTGGGAAAGTGGGTGCCTAAACAAGTCATGTAGTAATCTGGAGCTGCTACCAAGACGTGCAGCAGCCCTTTGTGGGAGGCCACAGTGAGGTCAGGCGGCGGGGAGGGAGGGGCATTGCCGGTGTTGGCTGGGCTTGCAGATTGTTCTGGGGTGGGAAGACGGAGGGGGTCGATGGGGACAGACAACATCGAGTGAGCCGTTGCCCAGGAGAAAACCAGAGCATGAGGGTGTGCACGTTCATGGCCTGGCTCTGAGAAGATTTGGATGGGCTTGACTGAGAAAAAAGTGCAGCCCTACCCTCCTCTTACTCTCTCACACGTAGAAGATGGCCCTGTGTTGCTCCGGCTGAGCAGGGGGCCCCGGTATCCTTGTTCTTAAGGGACGCTGGGGACCCTGACCCACGGGAAGCTGTCTGTAAGCTGCGCGGGGGCCTGGCCTCTCCCTCAGCTGTTTACATAAGGTCCTGGCCTTTCCTTCGCCTGGGGTTGGTGGCCTTGCCCTCCTTCGCACCTCCCCTCGAGCAGGAACATAATTCTAAACCTGTGGAAATGCCCCCAAGCAGTCAGTCCCTTAGTGGCAGTAATGCCTTCACAGAAGCCTTTCTACAGTCTAGTCTTTCCTTTTTCCCCTTCCCTCTGAGGTCCACTCCCATCCGTCCTTCAAGCTCTGTCCTTGAACAGATCAGAACACAGGTGAATTCAGTTCAACACGTTTACCCAACATCTCCTGTGTGCAGAGCCCTGTGCTGAGTTCAGAGAAGATGTGTCATTGTCATGATTTCCTTTGCTTCGGCTTCTCACTCCTAAGTAAGTGGGCAGAAAGCCCACTCAAGTTGCCTTTGCGTCTTCCTGCCCTGGCTGTGGAGCAGACCACCCTGAGGCGCTCTTTTCCTCTCCTGCTCCTGACAGGTTTTCCGGACAGACTTGATCACAGCCATGAAGATCCCAGACTCCTGCCAGCTCAGCCCGGATGACTACTACATCCTGGCCGACCCGTGGCGACAGGAATGGGAGAAGGGCGTGCAGGTGCCCGCGGGGGCAGAGGCCATTCCAGAGCCCGTGGTGAGGTAAGCCAGGGGGCCCTAAACAGGGGAGGCCGGGGCAAGGGGCCTTTTAGCCTCCCTCTATTCCGTCTTAGATTCTTTGGTCCCATTAACCATTGAAAAATTCCAGAAATACTGGCAGTTTACCTTTGAGGCTGAGGGCCTGGGCTTGGGCTCAGCTCTAGAGCCAGATGGCTTGGGTTCAAATTGCCACTCCCATTCACTGGGACCTTGGGCCAGAAATGTAATCTCCTGGGCCTCAGTTTCCTTGTCTGTGAAAGGAGAGTGGTAACAATACCACCTACTTCGTATGGTGGTCGAGATGACAAGGGCAGCAACACATGGGAGACACTTGGAGCAGGGCCTGGCACACACCAGCGCTCGGTAGAAAATGGCCATGGATTAGCTTGATGTCAATCCAGATTGCGTCCCATGAGCAGATCTTATCAGGGAAATCTCCAGGCTTCTAAAGAGTCTCTAAGACAGGGATAAGCCATGCTGTTGACTTCTTAAACCTTTTTAAGGAGTTCTGAGTGGGAGGGAGTTGAATGCTGGCACACAGCAGATGCTCAGGAAGCAGTAGCTGTGACCACCCTCAGGAGGGTTCCCTGCCAGGGATCAGGGGTGTGTCAGGGTGCGTCCTCTTTAGGCTTTGTAGCCTTCTGGTCTTGCGGATTGGAGAGACCCCTGGTGCATCTTGGCCATGGCCCTTGCCTCCAGTAACAGAGCTTAGCCAAGTGCTGCTTTCTGCACCCTGGGAAATCCCTAAATCTTGTCTCTGGGCTGAGGGACCCGATGTCCTGGCCTCCCTGGCCCAGCAGCACACTTGGCCTTGGCATCCCCGTGGCTCTCGGTTAGGTGCATTTTGACCAGGTCTGGGGCAAAGACTGCAGCCTTCATCACGCTTGACATTGGCACCGTTGCTTGCTGGCAGCCACACCTGTGAGTGGCTCACAGACCCCCAGTGCCCAGCTGGTGCCAGGCCTGTGCTGGGCATGGGATTACAGAGGCAAATCGGACTCTGAACCCTCCTTAGGTGCTCTGGGAGGATTGGGTGCTGGGCAGGGCTCATCTTGTGGCTCCGGAGGGCTGAGTGCCTGCCAGCTCTTGGTGTTAGGCCCTCTGAGGATCAGGGGAGCTCTAGGGTTCTCTGAAAGGGAGAATATGTGGGGTTTGCAGAGGGAATGTATTCTCTAAACATAGATTAAGCTCCTAGCCGGTTTCACACCTTCATCTAGGCAGACTAAAGAACTATTACTAACCTATTTGAGCCAGGTTTCTCCTCTGTAAAACGGGACTAATAACAGTAGCAGCCTAATGGTGTAGTGGGGATTAAATGCGAATACACATGGCAAGGGCCCAGGGCAGCGAAGGGGCGAGACAGGCCAGCAGCTGGGCAGAGAGGTGAGTCCTGATGAGGCTTGGCCCAGCTGTCTGTCCTCCCTCCTTGATGTCAGTGTCAGGTGGTTCCGGAAACATCCAATGGCCTGGGTAATTAATTGCAGATGCTTCCACACCAGTAGCGTGGCTTCTGTCTGCCGGCGCAGTGCTTTATCTGTTGACATCAAGAGGAGAGCACGCGTTTTCAACGAGGTGCATTCCCCGCAGATGCACGGCTGCTCTAAGCTGACAGGAGCCAGGCATTCCTGGCCTGTCCGTGCTCTCTGGAGAGGACAGACTAGAGGCAGGGACGGCTGTCTCTTGGAGAAGGCTCCCTTGTCTCCCTCCAGCCCAGTGGGCACCTCCCACTGCAAGCCAGTGCACCAGCCAGCCCGGTCAGAATTGTTACAGCAGCTCTTCCTGAGAATTTGCTGGGCTGAGCCTGTTACGTTCATCTTCTCATTTAATTAGCATACCAGCCCTAAAAGTACATCTTACTGTCCTGATATGATAGATGAGGAAGCTGGGAAATTCTGGGGAATTCCCTGCATGACCGCCAGGGCCTAGGGGGCTGGGCCAGGAAGTCACAAGCCACGAGAACAAGCCCGGGTTGCCCCTGTGAGGCCCAGAGAGAGCCCGTGCCCCGATCACACCGGCATGCTGGCTCTGATGCCCTCCCCCCGCCGCCACCCCGGCCCCCTCCGCCTCCCCCTTTTCCTCCAGTCTTCCCTGGCCCGTGGGCAGGTCTGCTCACCTCATGGTCTGAAATTTATCTGGGTAATGAGAACCTGTCTCACCCCCTGATTGTGAATTGAGTGATGGTCTATGCTGCTCCCTCTCTGTGTGGCCAAAAGACTCAACCCGGGCAAAACCAACCTCTGGTGTAGGTGTCATCTTTTGGAGTAGAGACCCTCCCCCAGGTGCCAGCCAAGCCATCCACTTCCTCCAGCTGACCTCTGTCCTGCTGGCTACAGTTGAGATGGAGTCCTTGGCCTAGAGTCAGGTCAGCGCACGCCTGGTAGGGTAGCTTCTGCCAGAGCCAGGGCCAGAAGCGGTGTCACAGATGACAGTGAGGGCCCCAGGAAGCACAGGGAATGCCTTTTCTGGTGTGAGCCCCTGAACCCTAGAGTCTCTGAGAAAGAAAGGAACGTGATCTTGGCCCCAAGAGGTCTGGCCAGGGGGCAGCTGACTGACCATACAGGTGTAGGCAGTGAGGCCGGTAGGTGGTGGGACAAAGCTTATATCCAAAACCTGACTGAGCCTACGCTGGGGGCACAAACAAAGCAGAGTCAAGATAAAATTAATCTATGTTTTTGAAAGAATGTGTTAATTCCAATAAGACCCTCAGGGGATTTTGTAGGACTAAGAGTACTGCATCCATTTGGAATGACCTATTTTACAGGAGGGTGGAGGGAGTCACACCATTTGTCCTTACCTGAGGTCTTCCTTGATCTGGGCCTCCCACGTGGCACCAAGCACTTTCCCTCACTCCTTGCGCCCCTCAACCTCCCTCTGACCCTCCCCTCCTGGTCTGGAGGCCATTTTTGCCTCCCTGTCTTCTCCATCCTTCCTGCCCCTCTGGCTGACACGCGGGGCCCACCCTGGAGCCCGGGAGTCCTCCCAAAGCTCAGCCATGTCTCTGGGCTACCCTGCCTTCCCCTCCCCAGTCTGCGCTGAGTCACAACCCCCGGCAGCCCTGCCTTTGACCCCAGGAGGCCTCTCGGGCAAGTGAGGGGCCTCTCAGGCCTGGCAGGGCTGGCCAGATGGAAGCCAGGCTCCGCAGCAATAACCATGGCAACCGGTGGGGGGTGGGAAAAGCTGGCATCAGGAACTCAGGGGCAGCACACAGCTGAGCCAAGAGGGGAAACTGCCCTCCCAAGGCAAAAAGTCCTCCTATTCCATTTCAGAAGGAGTAGAGTGAGATCCAGAGGACTTAAAATACGCACTCAGACACCTACAGTGCTTACTGTGTGGCAGGCACTGTTGTCAGAGTTTACACGTATTCGTCCATTTAACCCTTACCCGCCATAGAAGGTAAGTACTATTATTGTTAGCTTATTTTTTTGAATGAGGTCCCAGGGCACAGAGAAGTTAAGCAGCTTGCTTAGATTGCACACTGAGAGGTAGATCGGGGGCAGGCGCCTGGCTGGCTCAGTCAGTAGAGTATGTGACTCTTGATCTTGGGGTCACGAGTTTGAGCCCCACGTTGGGGGTAGAGTTTACTTAAAAAGAAAATAGTGGATCAGGACTTTGAGTCCACATTTTGCAGCCAGGACCCTTCCGAGCTGCCCCAGGGAGAGCCGTGGCCCAAGGGAGGGCTGAGCTGGAGTATGATCCTAGGGCTGTAGTAGGCATGTACATCTTTATATCCAAGGTAGGAGGCCTCCATCTTACACTGAGGGTGGGGACACCACAGTGAGAGACCTGACTGCTCAGGTTACATCGTATCTGGAGGGAATGATAAGGTGTGTAGGAGACACTATGTCCTCTGGGAAGGCAGACCACAGAGAATGTGGAAAGGGCCACCCTGGGCTGCAACACTGTACCCAGGTAAGACCCCTTCTAATTCCCCACCTTGCGGGGACGTAGGGACAATCCCTGGCGTCCCCCTGGCCTTGAGGGGAATGCTGAAGGACCTGAAGTCTTGCTGACTCTATCCCACCTGTCCCAGAGTGGCTGACACTGAGCATTGCCCAGGAGAGCACGTGGACTGCCTCTGATATAGCCCCAGGCAGGGCAGATCTGGATCCTGGAGCATTAGCTACGCCCAGATGCCCTCAGGGGAGGACCAGTAGAGGTGTGCTCTGGGCAGGATGGATGTTTATGGGATGTGTAGGACAATGGGTCAGCACCCACCCCCAACCCACATTCTGCCCTTTGGTCTCCTCTCCCATAGTCCTTTGAGTCTCTGCAGGGTGGGCAGGCAGGACGAGGTAGTGTAAGGAGGTGACCTCAAAGTCTCACATCTCACTTGCCCCCCAGCTCCTCAGCTGAGCTGGCCAGCTCACTGATGGCCCCCAGACTCAGTGAAGGTGGCAGGCTGAGGGTCCCTCCCCTCATGATACCCTCTCTTGATTTCCTAGGATCCTCCCGCCGCTGGAAGGCCCCCCTACCCAGGTGTCCCCTAGCAGCTCTGAACTTGGTGAGGGCTCCCAGCCTGATTGGCCTGGGGGCAGCCGCTATGACCTGGACGAGATTGATGCCTACTGGCTGGAGCTCATCAACTCGGAGCTCAAGGAGATGGGTAGGTGACCTGCCAGGCTGAGAGTGGGATGGGGGCAGGCCAGGCAGGGTTTTCTTCCAAATGCCAGCATCCTCACCCTCAGAAGGGCAGTGGCCGCGACGAGGCTTTGGCACCACATGGATATGAGAGAAAGTCCCTACTGCATTACTGATCGGAGAACTTCTTTGATGTCTCTGTGCCTCATGTTCTGTAGCTGTCAGGTGGGGGCAATAATAACCTGTCATTTGCAGAGTTCTTGAGGATATTGTTAGTAAGCCTGAGTATTACATGAAGAGTAAGTGAACACATAAGTGAAGTTAGGATGACAAATGGGGCGCGGGGTCAGTTAGCAGGGTCCTCCTGGCTGGAGCCCACCAACATGTCCTAGGAAGGTCCCCCCCACCCCATACACGCAGCTCAGGCGGTGAATTCCCCACGCGTACAGCTGCACCCCAGAGATCCTATCATGTTATCTGCATGTACACACGTGTGTGGTCACAAGCAGGCCGTCTAAAGTCAGAGCCCCAGGACCAGCCCCCAGTGGTCTCTGAGATTGAACGGTCCAGCCCATCCTGTTTCCAGATGATGGCGCTGAGGCCCATGACCGTGGGTGCATTTTCCCAGGTCACACAGTGGGTGAGTGGAGACCGCCCCCGCCATACACCTGTCCTGACAAGCCAGGCTCCTAACACTCTCCCCTGCTGCCCTCGCAGAGAGGCCCGAGCTAGACGAGCTGACACTGGAGCGTGTGCTGGAGGAGCTAGAGACCCTGTGCCACCAGAATATGGTGCGGGCCATCGAGACTCAGGAGGGCTTGGGCATCGAGTATGATGAGGACGTCGTCTGTGATGTGTGTCGCTCTCCCGAGGGTGAAGATGGCAATGAGATGGTCTTCTGTGACAAATGCAACGTCTGCGTGCACCAGGTGGGCGGCCCCGCAGCCCCACCCCGCCCTCACCTGCTGCCCCGCCAGGCTGCTGCTGGCTGCTGGTCATCCCGGCTATAGGAGGGCCTCAGCCGTAAGGCCACAGGCCCCTGAGAAGCAGGGCGAGGGAGGAGGAAGGGAATGGAGCAAGTGCCCCAGGGCTCAGCGCTGTCCGCCAGACTTGAGTAAATACCCCTTGGGTGGTCTTTCCATCCTTGTCCTGGGGGCTTCCCTCTGAGGCTCCCCGCCGAACACCCTGCCCCCCTGCCCCTCCTCTCCGACCTGAACTTAGAAAGAGGCCACACCATGCCGGGATGGAGAGCAAAGCCTGGAGCCAGGCTGCCTGATTTCAAACTGTGGCAGGGCACAATTTGAATAAGAATTACTCAATAAGAAACTGGGTAATTTCTTAACCTCTCTGGGCCTCTATTTCCTCAGCTCTAAATAAAAATAAGTTGTTGGGAGGTTTCACTTACTTCCTAGGAGTTCTTTGCTTAGAACAGTATAGTACAGACTGTAAGTATTTACCACTACTGATCTTATATACCAGGCGTGTTGCCTGACATGCCCCCCCTCTTGATCTTGGGCCCCAAACCTCCCAGGTTTTGGGCATCCCTGGGCGTTGTTTGCAGAAGACTTCACTGGAACCCAGTGGACCCACTCTAGCCCTGACTTTGAGCACACACACAACTTCTTGGCACTGCTGCTGGAATAGCTTCCGGGGAGCTCAGAGACCGTGGAGCCCTCATTCATTCATATCCCTTATGCCCAGTAGCTCGTAGGTCCATAAGCCTTAGGCATGACTAGGAGGAGCCTCCTTCACAAATCCCTGTGAAAAAAGAAGAACGCTCAGGGCCTTGTCCTCAAGCAGCATACAAACCCAAATTTGTGTCCAGCTTCTAGGAGTTCATGGACACTTCTGAAGTCCAGCACTTATTAGGAACCTCTGGCCAAAGTGACTTTCCTCCCAACAGAGGGCAGAGCTGAGCCCTTCCGCAGAGGACTGGAGTCTTTGCTTTAGAATCCCTGTGGAGGCCTCCTTGCCAGAGCCTGCTCGCAGTGGGGATCTGTAGCTCCTCGCTCGGGCTGGGGCCGGGGCTGTGTGCAGCTGACTCCTGACCAGATGTCGATGGTGACCGCCCTGCTCTCTCCCCAGGCATGCTACGGGATCCTCAAGGTGCCCACGGGCAGCTGGCTGTGCCGGACGTGTGCCCTGGGTGTCCAGCCAAAGTGCCTGCTCTGCCCCAAACGAGGAGGAGCCTTGAAGCCCACCAGAAGCGGGACCAAGTGGGTGCACGTCAGCTGCGCTCTGTGGATTCCTGAGGTGGGCAGATTGGGGCAGGGGCGGCTCTGGGGACGTGGGTCTCCATGGAGCCCGGAACTCAGGGAGCAGAGCACTGGGGAAGAAGGTGACAGGCCTCCATAAAAAGGGATATCTCACGTGTGGCACCTGAGAAGAACTGGGGCAGCGACGCGCAGAGAGCTGTGCCTGTGGTTTTGGCTAGAACTCAGGTGGTGGTTTCCATGGGTAGGTGGGATTATGGGCCCCTGGGGGATCCAGGTGGTTAAGTCTGAGAGCTGAGCAGAAGTCAGGCAGCAGAGCAGAGGGGGAAGCATGCTGTGGGTCCTTCCAAATCCAGGCAGTGGTTCCAACCAACGTCAGGCTCCTTGCTTAAAACAAAAATAAGCCGTTGACTGAAAAGGAAATCAGGCATTCAGGCAGAGAGCTAATTAGAAGTGGATGGTGGGTCTGCTACCATGGCTGTGGCTGGGATGGAGGGATTGGCCTGGGTCTGAGTCTAGGTGGAGGGGGACCATGGGTAACACGCTAGGCCCACCCCGTGACTTAAGTCACCAGGGCGCTGGGCTCCTGGAAGGTCATCATGTTCTATTTGAAATAGGAAATGCTGTCGTTCACTAGAGTTTCTGCCCCAGGTCCGCTGTGTGCCCCAGCTGGGAACGTGGCCCCCTCCGATGCTGCCTGTGCCTGCAAGCAAGCCAGGTGGCCCTGTCAGCAGGGGCCCCTCCCTTTTGTGGGCTTCCAGTCTGAAGGTTCTTGCAGGGACCCCCCCATTGTAGGCTTCTGTGGTCATCATGGTTGCGTTGACAGTGGTTTCTTGCTCCCAGAGCAGCCTCTTGAAAGCTGGGACTACCTCTGGGTGTTCCCTGGACTGGGCACCTCAGAGACAGAACCAGCAAGGACCCTGCCCCACCATTGGGGCCCTTTGGTTTAGGACCTCTGAACAGGAGCCCTTCTTCCATTTTCAGGCATGGGCAGTGGAGAGGCAGATGTATCCTCGGGCTGAGGGGTGGGCTGTGTGCCCAGGAGACTTAGGTATGGTTGTGGGCTCGTCCCCGTAGGAGGGACGGGCAGGGCTAAACAAAGGCACATCCCCACTGGCCAGGCAGGCCCTGGAGGGGAAGAGATGCTGCCTTGGGGCCTTTACTTGCTGCCCAGAAACATAAACTAAATAAACTCATGTTCTAATAAGAACTCCGAAGGTTCTAGTAACAAAGGCGTGAGGTATAGAAGACATGGGGATGCTGCATGTACTCATCTATGTGTGCGTCTGCATGCATACACACCTAACCCACACACACACTGAAGCCTTGCTGCCTCAAGGCCCACACCACCATGGCGTACAGACACACACACACACACACACAAAATCAGTTGCATGGCCCGATGCGCACTCTCTTACACAGTCACAAACAAAACTAGTCACAGGTGAGCAAACACTAACGCACTCACTTCCTGGTCAGCTTGGGAGAGTCAGGAAGGTCTTGGGATGCAGGGGCTCTCTCATGGCCCTGTGTGCCCCCTACCTGGTTTCGGCAGACAGCTCCCATTTGGGGGATCCCTAGAAGCGAGCGGGGGAGGAGAGGCCTGACACAGCTGCTCCCTGTCTCCTGCCCAGGTCAGCATTGGGTGTCCAGAGAAGATGGAGCCCATCACCAAGATCTCGCATATCCCAGCCAGCCGCTGGGCTCTGTCCTGCAACCTCTGCAAGGAGTGCACAGGCACCTGCATCCAGGTACAAGGCCCTTCACCTTGCGGCTGCCCGGGGACTCATGCCAGGCTCAGCCGCAGAGAGGGGTGCATCTGGGACGCTGTGGAAAACAGGCAGCTGCCACCCCACTCCCCCTGTCCCCATGGTGCTGCAGACAGAACCACCGTGGAGGCCTGGTACCGTAGCCAGACTCAGGACCCCCACCGAGGGTCATTCTTCCATCCCCAGCCCCTCCAGGCACGGGGTATATGCCCTGGGAGCAAAGGCTCACCGTGCCACCATGCCCTGGCTTTCCCCAAGAGCGACTGTCTTTGGGGTTAATAAACACATGGACCTCACTTCTGACATCAGACATAACGTGGGAGAGGCAGGAAACCTTCTCCTCCAGCTGAGCCCATACCGGGCAGGGCTCTAGCAGTCTGTCCATAGCAGTGGTTCCCAGATTCTGGTGTGCGGCAGTAGCACCTGGAGGGCTTGTTAAAACGGATTGCTGGGCCCATCCCCAGAGGTCCTGACTCAATAGATCTGGAATGGGCTGAGAATTTGCTTTATCAGCAGGTTCCCCGATGATGTGATGCTACTACTGGTCTTTGGGTTGGAAAGTGGGGGGTCATTCTTTGTCTTCCTCATTTTTCTAGCAACAGCTGTCATTGCAAACACTTGATGTGCCTCCACCCTTTTTTAAGACTTTCAAAATGACTTGTGAGTGCAGTCTAAATGTTGATTAATAGTTGGGGGGGGGTATTGCTGAAACATTTATCAGCTGCCCACAGCCATCATCCAAGGCTAGGAGAGAGGAGCCAGCCCTGAGTTGGCCCCAGCTGCCTGGGCAAGAGAAGGAAGGGGGTCCACTTCCAGCCCCTCTTCCTAGAGGATAGAGGTGGCGCACAACTCCCCATCTTAGATCACGTTGCAGAAGGGAGGCAGTGACCCATCACCAGCCTCTTTTGATGCCTGTTGTTGCAGAGTCATTTTGCCCACACAGTAATGCAGCTTATCCCCAAGGGTTGTCAAAATCTCCTGACTGCTCATTTCCCCAGGATATATATGGTGCTGAGCCCCATTTCCTTTCAGGCTCCCCCACAGTTCCCCCTTCCCACTTACCAGAGCTCCCTCCATACCCACAGGATGTTGCCAGTCCGTACCATTGTGGGTCGGGTCTCACCAGCAGCCTGGATTCTCGGTGGAACCTCTTCCCTCCTAGCAGGACTCCCCTCATGCCTGACACTTCCCTCCTTTCCCTCCAGTGTTCCATGCCTTCCTGCGTCACAGCGTTCCACGTCACGTGCGCCTTTGACCATGGCCTGGAAATGCGGACTATCTTAGCAGACAACGACGAGGTCAAGTTCAAGTCGTTCTGCCAGGAGCACAGTGACGGGGGGCCTCGGGGGGAGCCCACTTCCGACCCCACGGAGCCGAGCCCTGCCGGCGAGGACCTGGAGAAGGTGACCGTGCGCAAGCAGCGGCTGCAGCAGCTGGAGGAGGACTTCTACGAGCTGGTGGAGCCGGCCGAGGTGGCCGAGCGGCTGGAGCTGGCTGAGGCGCTGGTTGACTTCATCTACCAGTACTGGAAGCTGAAGAGGAAAGCCAATGCCAACCAGCCACTGCTGACCCCCAAGACCGACGAGGTGGACAACCTGGCCCAGCAGGAGCAGGATGTCCTGTACCGCCGCCTCAAGCTCTTCACACACTTGCGGCAGGACTTGGAGAGGGTGAGTGCCCCTGCCACCACCCCACCTGCCGGCCTGCCTGGTGGACATCCCGGGAGCCTTTCCGCCTCGCGTGCGCACTGCCCCACAGCAGCCATGGCTGTCCGGGACTCAGATGGTGCGCTCTGGCCCAGGGGCTGAGGGCCTCCAGGTCTCTGACAGGGTGGGGGTTATCTGATACTGTTCAGAACAGGGAAGCATCTAGCCCTTGGGTCTCTGAGCCCCTCTTGTCCCTACCCTTTTGTGGGCCTGAAGAGTGGGGGCCCTGCCAGGGTCCTGAGGCTAGAGGGCATCAGAGCTGGGGCACGACCCAGGCTTCCAGTGTCTACTGGCCTCTCTCCCCATTTGTGGCCTCCGTGGGCCATGCCTGTTCCCCGCACATGAGCTTCTGCTTGGAATCAGAGGCCGAGGAGGAACAGGGAATCACAGCAAGTTGAATCAACCCAACAAGCGTGTGCTGGGCCAGGGCAGGGAAGACCAGTGTTAAGGGGCGTGGGGGCATACAGGTGGGCTGGAGTCACAGTGGCCTGTGTGGAGTAGAAGGAGAGAGGTCAGTGGGTGGGCCATGATGCGTGTGGAGACTGCAGAATGTTCTAAGCAGGGACTGTCCCTCTGTGGCTGCAACTTCCAGACACTCACCCTGGGGGAGGAATCACGGGGCCTACAGTGGATGGGTGACCCAAACCCCCCAGCTGTATGCTAGGAGACCAAGGGGTCTTGGCTTGGTGCAAAAGGGTAGTTCTGGGAGCTGAGTCAGATGAGGAGATGCCATGGCTTTGGGGTGAGCTGTGGTGGTTGAGGGATAATGAGAGTTGCTTTCCTGGACCATGGAGGCCCCCCAAAGCTTCCAGTCCCTCCTACTCCTCCAGAAAAGAGGTGAGGTGGTTCCACCTTCTGTGGGGTATGCCCTCGAACTTGACTCTTCTTTCCCACTGTGTTACCTCTAGCGAAAGTTGGAGGCAACCCAAGGATGAAACGGGATGGTCTCTGAACCGCAGGTGCTGTTTGGCCTCTCCTCTTCGGGGCATTCAGTCCCAGGGTTCCAGAGCACATGGGATCATGTCATAGTGTCCTCTGTGCATGGCACAGACACACTTGCCTGCCCTTACCCCAGGCCTTGTTAGGAGGCAACCCTGGGTGGACACGTTCAGGGGGCTTTGTGTGACCTGAGGCAGCTGCTTGGCTTAGGTCCATCTCTGTTGGTGAGTCTGTAAAATGGGTAGAAGAGGTTGGCAGGTGTTGTGCTGTGTTGGGAGGAACATAAGGTGGAGGCACTGAATCTGGACCCAGCTTGCCCGAACTCCTCTACTCTGAGCCCCGGTCAGGGGGAAATGACCCCACCAGCCTGGGAGGGAGCTTACAGCCTGGCAGCTGGCCTGCCAGTAGGTCAGAAGGGGGAGGCGGAGAGTGGGGACGGCAGATGTCCCTGGCTCCAGCCAGGCCAGAGGGCAAGGCCCATCTACGCTGTAGCCGTCACTTCCTGGGCAGCCCAGCGTCCTGTCTCGTGGCAGTGGCATCAGGTACGTGAGGACATGGAGCACTTTCAGAGACCAGAGCTGCCTCCACAGTTGTCCTCAGGCCACCCTGAGTCTGCACCCTCCAGATCTCCAGCGCAAACACCCTGCTTTTACTCCTGCTCTTTTCAGTGATCCCTCAGGTCTGACCTCCCTAAGGTCTGTGCTGGTCTGGCTCCAGCTAGGCAGTGTAGGGAGGCCAGGGGGTGGGGTGACGTATTTAATCATCATCCTGCAAAAAGAGACAAAGTAGCTCCTCCTGGCCTTAATGAGGAGATGAGAAAACTAGGGCTCGGGAAGATGAATGACAGGGAGTCCTAGAGAAATGTGTGTTTTCTAGGGTTTGACTTGAATTTGGACCTGAATGGGGGGGCGGGGTTTGTCATAAGGAGAGTTGTTGGCTTAACCTCCTGTTCCATACACTCTCTGAGCAAAAGCATCCCTTCGTCAGTCTCCCCAGCCTCTCGACCTCACTGTCAGCTGGTACAGCTGTGGCAGGGAGCCAAGGTCAAGAGCTAGGATGCAGGCAGGTTCCCAGGCAGCCAGAGCTGCCATGCAAATGCCTCTGGGAAGGGGACAGAGCCCTCCAAAGTCAGGTGTGAACTAGCCCACTCGTCCTCCGGCAGCCCCCGAGCTGGACTGGCGGGCGTGAGCCGAGAGCAAGGCGAGGGAGTGCAGTGAGTGCGTGGCCCTGGCAGGCAGAGGAGAGGACAAGCCAGCCTGACGCCCTCTGGGTCTCGCCTCAGGGCCTTTCACAGCCCTGAGTTGGTGGCTTGCAGGAGGGAGCAGGGTTGAGAGCTCTGCCACAGGGGAGGCTTTCTGCAAAGACCCATGGCTGTTGGTGGCCCGGCCGTGGCCCAGTGCCAACGGCCAAAAGGATCCAGCCTCTGCCTGGGCATCCGGCCAGCTTGGGCCAAATCCATCTGGGAGGCAGGGTCGGGGTTGAGACAGAAGCCTTGGGCAGCCTGGGTTTGCATCCAGTTCCAGCATTTCCCAGCTCTGTGCCTTCTGAGTTTCAGTTTCCTTTCTGTAAAATGGGAATAAGGAGCCAACTGACCTTGGCGTCGTCGCCAAGGTGGGAGTACAGCGACCTCTGCCATTCGTCATGGTTACTGTTGCTGCTTGGCTCAACAATTCTGAGTGGGCCGCTTGGAGAGGGGCTCCACGGAGGACTGAGCGCGCAGGCCCGGGGCAAGGCCCTGGGGAGGAATCACAGGGCACCCTCCCTCACTGCCGTGCCCTCCAGGGCCAGGCAGGGGTTTTGCTGAGAGAAGCAGAAGCCAGGGCCAGGCTGCCGCCACTAGCCTCAAGTCCCATGTCATGGTCAGCCTGGAAGATGTGTTTTCCTAAAATTTCAGCCGCAGGCCTTGGCCCCAGCGGGCCGCTCAGGAAGGCACGGCCACCGCCGGCTCCCAGAGTTATTCACAGCTGACACAAAAATTGCAGCGCTGATGAGCAGCCTGCCAACGCCGAGCTGGTGTTCCCTAGCAACCGTGCTGGAGGCTTGGGCTGCACGGGGCTCGATGCCTGTGGTTCCTCTGGATCTGGTTACCCGGAGTTTACTCAAGGGCATGACCTGGCTGGGGAGGGTGGGGGCAGCTCTCAGACGTACACACCCCTCCCTGAGCATAGATCTGTGGGATCACCCCGAGGCCACATTTCTGATTCTCTCCCATGGAGAAGAGCCTGCCCTCCCCCACACTCACCACCCACCCGCTTCCTTGTCAAGTGGGTCATACCCCATTTCCTCTGTCCTCAGTGCCTGGATTGTGTTCCTGTTGGCCTCCCACCAAAGCCTGCCTTGGCCTCTAGAACTACAGCCCCTCAACCCCTCTGTCTCCCATCTCTAGGACATTGCCAACCCATTCGTGTCCTCACCCCACTGAAACCTGGTCACCACCTCACCCTGCTGCCTCGTCAGTAACCCTGCACCCTCAAATCCCCCTGCTTGCTCACAGCCTCCTGTCTCCCTGCTCTGTTCCCCCCGCTCCCTGCCCCGGCTCCCCAACCTTCACTGTCCCGTTTTCTTCAGCCCCCACCCCATGTGGCTTGCTGCCTGAGCCCTTGCCCTTGTGAAGGCCATGTACCTGGCAGAGCCTCACCCGGTAGCAATCCCATTGTGCTGAGCAGCAGGTAAGCCCCACCAAGGTTCTTGTCAGCCAGCCTTGTTCTGGGATGTTCTGGGCACCCCAGCCCACTCCCTGCCTGCACCCCTGCTTCACCTCACTCAGGGCCCCCCCTTCTCAGCCCTCAACCTCACTTCCTGTGCCTCAGACCAGACCCCTCCAACTTCTGGGCCCTAGAGCCCTCTGTATCGGCTCTCTGCCCTTTCTCCCCGTCCCCCTTCCCCCAGCACGCACCCTACGTGAGCACGGGAGTCATCCTTCCCTTCAGGCCTGCTCAGTCTCCAGGATTCGAATCTGTTTCTCCTTCTCTCATCTCTGAAAACACATCCTCCCTCCCCATGTCCCTCTAGTCCTGGGACCCTCTACCACCCCCATCCCTAACTCTCCTTTCCTGTCCTCCCTCGCTGCTCACTCTTCCTTGCTTCCTACTCTGGCAAGGCTCCTGCCACTACCATATTCCAGAACCATCCACCAGGGCCACCAACAGCTTCCATCTCCCTACGTTTAGTGGCCACTTCTCCATCTTCATCCTCTAGCCTTCTCAGCCATGGTGGCCACTGTCAGACATACCTTTGGTCTTAAAATACGTTTCTTGTGGACACTGACCACATCCTCCCTTAATACCCCAGTCCTCCCGCTCCCTCTGTGAGTACTCCTTGGCCCCAGGACCATCAGTTCACCACACTTGGGCTGACCTCTCAGTACTATGCTCCACGGCTCTGCTCCCCATCAGGAGGCTGGTCCAGCCCACATCTCCCTTCTGAACTCCAGTATCTCATGCCCAGCACACCCAGGTCCAAGCCTGCTCCCCCCACAGCCTCCCTAGTCTGCACAGAAGCCTCAGCACTAGTCCAGTCTAGCTCAAGATAACTAGCCGGGAGCCCAACCTACCCCTCCGCTCTCCTCACCCCCATTCAGATTCACGCTGTAAAACTTACTGATACCAGAACAACGTCATCAAAATAGAAAGCCTGCTTTTGTGACCAATCCCCAGTCTGGGGGGACTTTGCTACTTGATTCATTTCTTTTCACTCCCAATTTTTTTTTTAAAGATTTTATTTATTTATTTATTTAAGAGAGAGAACAGGTAGCGAGGGCAAGGGCAGAGGGAGAACAGACTCCCCGCTGAGCAGGGAGCCTCACGTGGGGCTCAATCCCAGGACCCTGGGACCATGACCTGAGCCGAAGGCAGATGCTTACCCGGCTGAGCCACCCAGGTGCCCCGCCCTCCGATTTTTTTTAAGAGAACTTTTTATGTTTATAATCAGAAAAAAACAATAATGACAGCGTAAGAAACCTGATAGGCTGGATGAGTTTCTACGGTGGTATCAATATTTGGTCCCCAAAAGCCATCACAGAAGAGGAATGCTACAACATTTAGAAACACGTGACTATGGAACCAAAGTCTTTTTTTTTGAACCAACAGTCTTCAGAGAAATTAGAGAATTAGTTGATGATTCCAGGGTGAGGGGGGAGCATGGGGTGACATCCTGACCAGTGTACCAACCACAGGATGTTGGCATTGTTGGGATTCTCAAAGGAAGAAGCATTCCTGTCTTCCATAGCAAGAGCCTCCGATATCACTCATTGTGTAGTGTACCTTATCAGGAGAAAAATTGAGCATTTACCTGCAGTATATTGTATTTTTCATCTCGCATTCATATCTATCACTGCATATTATGAAACAGACGTAATCAGAATTTCTAACAGGATGAAAAAATAAACCAGTAGAGGGGTGCCTCGTTGGCTCAGTCGGTAGAGCATGTGACTCTTGATCTCGGGGTTGTGAGTTTGAGCCCCACGTTGGGGGTGGAGGTCACTTAAAAATAAAATCTTAAAATAAAAATACATACACACACCGGTAGATATTGTAATGTCTTTTTCCTATACTGCGATGAACTAACTCAGTAGCCTGTGCAGCTCACTTTGGAGACCCCTGGCCGAGAGCAGTAATTCTCAGATTAAATGTATATTTGAGGACCCAACCCCCAGAGGCTTTGCTATTCTCCCAAGCCTGGGAATCTGTGTAGGTCTTTTGTTGGTTTGTTTTAAAGTAGGCTCCACACCCAGCACGGAGCCCAACGCGGGGCTTGAACTCACGACCCTGAGACCAACATCTGAGCTGAGATCAAGCTGGGACCCTTGGGACCCAAGGCTCCCCACTGGGAATCTGTGGGGTTTTGTTTTTAAAGATTTTATTTATCCACTTGACAGAGAGAGACAGAGACAGCACAAGCAGGGAGAGCGGCAGGCAGAGAGAGCGGGAGAGGCAGGCTCCCAGCCGAGCAGGGAGCCTGACATGGGGCTCAATTGCAGGACCCCGGGATCACAACCTGAGCTGAAGGTAGATGCTTAACCAACTGAGCCACCCAGGTGCCCTGGGAATCCGTGGTTTTAACCAGCTACCCAAGGGATCTTGATGCCAGTAATTCATTGGGTTTGCCTTTTTGTAAAGTTTCAGATAAAAGACCAAAAAAAGTCTGTATTTTAATAGGAAGTGATTAAGTATTGGTTTCTTTGAGAGGGACATTTGCAACTCTGAGCCTCAGGTCATCTTTCGAGGTTAGTGTTAAGAGTTAAGTTTGAGAATGACATGTTTGGGAAATTTTTTAAAAGCCAGACCTTGACTGATCTGTTTTTTAGGCTGGACCGTGTTGACTGGTTTGTTTTGAGGCCTCCCAAGTATCCATGAATCCGTCCACCTCTCTTCACCCCAGCCAACCCCATGTACACGAGGCCACGTGGCTGCCAGGAGGGCAACGGACTAGGATGCGGGGAGAATAATGTCGGGCTGCTTACATGCAGTGGACAGGGAAGGCCTTTTCGAGGTGACACTTGAGCCAAGACCTGAAGGACAAGGTCCAGCCTTGGGAAGAGCCTTAAATATATACCAAGGCCCCAAGGCAGAAGTAGGTTGGACACAGGACAGGACTGGAGGGCAGTGTAGCTGGAGCCCGGAGGCCTGTGAGACATGGGCTGTGAGGTGCCAGGGGGAGGTCAGATTGGGCAAGGCTTTGCACTTGGCTCTGATCTTTTCTTTTTTTTTTAAGTGTCATAGGAAGGAAGCTGTGTTCGTTTCCTAGACCTTCTGTAACAAAGCATTATAAACGCAAAGTCTTAAACAACAGAAATGTGTTTTCTTACAGTGCTAGAGGCTACAAATCCAGGATCAAGGTGTTGGCAAGGTTGATTCTGTCGAAAGGCTCTGAGGGAGTATCTGTTCCAGGCCTCTCTGCTGGCTTCTGATTCACAGCAACGCTTAACATTTCTTGACTTGTAGGCCCCTGATTCCATCTCTGCCTCTGTTGTCATGTGGCATTCTTCCTATATGTCTTCACGTGGCCTTTTATAGGGATACCAGTCATTGGATTTGGGCTCATTCATATCTGGTATGACTTCATCTTAACTGAGTATATCTGAGGTTCCATGTGGACGTGCAGTTTGGCGGGGGGCACTGTTCATCCCAGTAGGGAAAGCAGCAGAGGTGTTAAGGGCAGGGGGATTTACATTTCAAGAAGACTGTCTGAGATAGCAGAGGGGTCAGGATGCCTGCCCGTCCGGGTGGAGCCGAAGTGACTAGAAGTGGAGGGAGCTGATAAGGAACGATGTACGTTCACCAGGGACTGATGGGGCACGCTGAGGGACTGGCTCTGGAGGCGAGTGAGGAGGAGCTAGGTCCTGAAGGGTGACTCCAGGGTCTCAGCACTTACACCCCATCCCGCCCCGCCCCCAGCCAAATCCCTCCCCAGATCGCCTCGGCCTGGCTCAGTCAGGCCAAGCCTGGCACACAAGCCACAAGGCCTCGCTCTGCCTCTCCCACTCGGCCTAGCTGCCCCTTTGTGCAGGAAGCCTTCTCACCACCCCAAGTGTGGGTCAGGGCTGCCTGGTCCTGTAAGTACTCGCTCTGCATCCCTCTGCCCTGCTACGCAAGAAGCCCTCAGAAGAAAGGGATCTCCCCGATGGCACTGCATGCCGCTGAACCCAGGGCCCAACACCACATGAGTTCCCAGAGCCACAGCTGGTGTTCAGGGATGTGTGGTTGCGAGGAGGTCCTGAGGAAGTCCAGGATTTGAGAGGAAGCAAGGGCTCTTAGGCTGGGCCAGGCAGCTGCCCCTTAGGGAGGTGTGGGCCTCGGATGGCCTGTGTCCATGGTCTAGGCTGGTGCACACGGGAGTGTGGAGTGTGCTTAGAGTTCCTGCAGAGCCTGGCGTTCTGGGATCCCTTTCACTACGAGGCTCAGGAAGGAAGGGGAGGATGCCCATGTCTGCAGAGAGGTGTGATCACAGCTACCCCTCAGGCCAGGAGAAAGGGAGGTCATGACAATAGGCAGGGGCTTTGGAACCCATTGGTCTCCCCTAGGCAGCTTAAGGACATGAAGCGTGAACTCGGCTTTGAAGGCAGAACCCGGCTGCAGACAGAGGGACTAGCCTGGTGGGACCCAGATTTCCAGCTCACAGCTTCTGGCCAGCTGTCCCTGCTTTGAGGCTCCAGCCTGAGCTGAAGACGATGCCAGAACAAGGAAATGTCTTGAGGGGGGAGGCCTGGTCTTGGCCCCAGAAGTGTGCTCCATCCTGAGAGCAGCGGTGAAGGGATGGCTGGGGAAAGGTGCGGGGGGGACAGGGAGAACACGGCCTGGGTTTCAGGTGCTTCTGGAAGAGCGACAGAGTGGGTCTGTGTCCCATGAGCTTAAGCAAGCTGTCTCCCAGGCACTAGACACTTTTTTTTAATAATTTTTTATTGTTATGTAAACCACCATACATTACATCATTAGTTTTTGATGCAGTGTTCCATGATTCATTGTTTGTGTATAACACCCAGTGCTCCACGCAGAACGTGCCCTCTTTAATACCCGTCACCAGGCTAACCCATCCCCCCACCCCCTCCCCTCTAGAACCCTCAGACACTCTTCCTAGCTGACCGAAAGGAGTCAGGGAGGCCCCTGCCCTTCCCCCTGAGGACTTCTGTCTCCTATAGGGACATAGCCATGTGGACTAGGGGCCTTGGCCAGAGTAGGTGTGGGCTTGGCTCGGGTCCTAGTGCAGCAAGTGGACATGGCTCGGCCCTAGCAGGACCCGGCTGGGTCAGAAGCTGTTCTGCTGGAGGTCTCCCTGCTCTGTGTCCCATGGCCATTTGTGTCTCAGGACAGGAGTTGGGTTTGCCATGGTGCTTATGGCTGAGGAATGTCTTTGAAAAAGAGATCTTGGACAGGAGGCAGAGGGATGGACTTGGTGACCTTGCCAGGCCCCAGTGACCTTGGGGCACTGTGTATGTAGGGGAGGGCAGCCACACTGTTAGGGCCTGGAGGGGCAGCATGGCAGACTGCGCCCGGAGGTGAAGGCCAAGAGGAGGCGGGTGGAGTCACCAGCCTGAGCTCACCAGACGCTCTCCCTGCTCACTCTGGTTCAGTGGGGGCTGCAGGATCAAGGCTGTGCTTGGCCTGTGTTTTGGACCAGAGAACTGTGGCTCTGGGCTGAGGACTCACTTGGGGCTTAGGAATTGATTCCCAGATGTCCCTGGCAGGTTAGGCAGTGGTGGCCCCCCGGAGCTGGGAGGTCAGGGGGTGACCGCCCATGAATAAAATGGAATACCTCTCCTTCGTCTCCTCAGGTTAGAAATCTGTGCTACATGGTGACAAGGCGCGAGAGAACGAAGCACGCCATCTGCAAACTGCAGGAGCAGATATTCCACCTGCAGATGAAACTGATTGAACAGGACCTGTGTCGAGGTAGGCACCTTCCCTGTGCATCACCAGCCCCCGCTCAGTGTGCATGCTGTCAAGGGGCCGGGGCCCAAGGAGGGGGTGTGTTTAGGGCCTGGTGAGGGCGTGTGCACGGAGCCAGGGGCCACTGGCCGGTACACGGACCCTTCGTAACCCACTAGTAGACCAAGATGGGATTCCCGGGCCCTAGTTGTGTGTTGGCTGACAAAGAGCCAGGGATAGGAATGTGGGCATCGGGCCTGTCCTGAGGGAGCTTTCTGGTCCACTGGGAACACCTGCATAGTTGCAGGGCCATCGTGGTTCAGGAGTGGATGGTATGGGAACAGTGGCTCTAGGCTGGTGTTGGGGCGGGAAGGGCCGGAAGCTGGTGAGCTTCCCAGAACCCGTGTGCCTCCATGTGGATCCTGAACCAGGCAGCTGCCCCAGAGAGGGAAGAGGACCTGTGTGTTCTTTTCCTCTGACCTCAACTGAGAATTCAGACGCTGTACCAGCAGCTTTTTTCTCTGTTTTCTTAAACTCTTGCTGTCACATGCACTTAACAGATCTGGATATCAAGGGCAAAGAAGCTTCAACATTGCTCTTGTCTGTTGGTTGTGTGGATACTGCCCAACATCAGGCCCTTCCCAGAGTGGGTGCATGTTAAGGAGGGCACTGCTTCACTCAAAAAATGGCGCTCTTGTGTTGGATGACACGTAGCTGGATGGAGAGAGATTTTGAGCCAGGAGCTGCCATGGCCAGTTCAGGCTCCGGGTCAGGCTGGGCCTGGAGTGGAGAGAAACTGGAGCTGCTGGGCCACCCCCAGAACAAAGGACTGAGCGGCTGGGATCACGACCTACTCTGTCCTAAGAAACCAGCCCTACCCAATACAGGTGTTGGTTCAGTCCGGGTCGTGTCCACGCAGAGGTCAGAGCTTACCATGCCTCCCCATGACTGGCAGCTTGCTGGCCGCCCGAGCTTTCCAGGCTCCCTCTTATTTGTTGGTTTTTGCAGCAAGCATTAACAGTGTAGACAGCATGCCAGGCTCTGTGCCGGGCAGCATGGGGCATACTGCCATGGCCTGAATGGATAGAGTTCCTGTCCTTGTGGAGCTCACCATCTGGGAAGGTGAAGGAGAGGGCGCCCAAGGGGCTGTGGTCAGCACCAGTGCAGGGACAGAGTATCAGAGATGTCTTCGCAGCAGTGGTGATTCTGAAAACACATCGGGCTCCCTGGGACCTCACTGTGGCCGCACGTCCGGCTGCAGGAGAGCCCCACCATCAGGGCGACAGAAAGTGGCAGGGCGTATAGTAGTCTCAGGTACAGGATTCCAGAAACCTGGTCAAGAGCCAGGGCCTGATCCCCGTGTGGAGTATGGGGACTTTTGCAGCTCTTAGACCTAAGTGGCAACAACAGGCAGCCCTTTGTTCAGAGCAGGCCATTTGGAGGGGGGACTGGTTTGCCTGTGCTGAGCCCTCGGGGTTGTGACATTCGGCCCCTGGGACAGGACATGGCTACCAGCAGATTGTCGAGGCCTGTGTGGCCAGAGGGCTGGAGAAGGCTTCCCATGGCAGTGACATTTATGCTGTGAGCTAAACCAGGTGGAGGGCAGGACAGTTCGGAATCCTAGAAGCCCGAGTCCGTCTTTTTAGAGAAACTGGAAGGAGGCTGGCCTAGCAGCCCGTGGGGAGAAAGGAGGATGTCTCAAGTGAGGTTTGGGGGTTGATGGGGGTCAGACATGCAAGGTTTTATGGCCTCAAAGAGCTCAGACTTTCCTGAGGGCAGCGGGGGAAACTTCGAAGTGTCCCTCCGAAGTATGTGGGCACAGGTCCCACGTCAGAGATGAGGCTCCTGAGGCCCGGCCTGAGGTTGCGCCGGGGATTAGCGGCAGAGCCGGGGCGACTGCATATCCCTCAGCCTTCTCGTAAAGCTTTGTCTGGGAAGCACGCCAGCCTCTGGCGGAAAAGCTAGGAGATTTCTGGCAGCTGGGCCTCTCCTTGCAGATGTCCTCCCCTGCTCCAGCGTTCTCGGGGGCTCCCTAGACCTGTATGGTCAGGGACCAAAAGGGTATGAGGGCCCGGTGTGCACCCCAAGTCTGCCTTCTACGGCATGACCTCAAGAACAGATCAGGAGACCAGGCAGGAGACTTACTCAAGGGCCTGACTAGAACCCATGTCTCTCGACTCCTCAGTGTGTTCTCCACCTCCTCCTGCCTGGCTCCTCAGCCTGGCATGGAAGGCCCTGTGCTGGCCACTCACCTCCGCCACCCTCCCCACCCCCACCAGGATTCCCTCCACATCTGTAGGCATGTAGCTTAGCCTGCGTTCCAGGTCCTACAGGGTGTCCTCCACCCTCTTCGTGGCCCTGTGCCCTCCTCAAGCCACTCAAGGGCAGCAGTAGACAGTGACCCCCCCCCTTCCCCACCAGCTGTCCCTGACTCACAGGAGCCCCACTTACCCAGCCGCCCGTGGCTCTGAGCCTGGGGCCCGTCAGCAGGGCAAGGTGACCTGGAAGATGAGGTGCAGGTGAGCGAGGACTCTTAGGCTGGTCGGCAGTGATCTTGGTTTTGGCTGAGCTGCTCGGCATAACCACCTCCCTCCTGCTCTCTCTTTCCCTGGCACAGAGGGGTCTGGGAGGAGAGCAAAGGGCAAGAAGAGCGACTCAACAAGGAAAGGCCGCGAGGGCCCGAAGGGCAGCCCCGAGAAGAAGGAGAAAGTGAAGGCGGGGCCTGACTCAGTCCTGGGGCAGCTGGGTGAGTGAGTGGCCACACTGGCCTGGCAGACATGGCCAGGATCACACCATCACTCCATTTGCCACCCCCAACCTAAGACCAGCAGGGTCTATACCAGTACCTCCATTGCACAGAGTAGGAAGCCCAAAGGGCTAAGGAAGCCCTTCCATGCCCAGGTGCTCACACCTTTTAGCCATAAAGGAAACAAGGTAGGGTCTCAGAGTCCTCTCTGCATCCCAAGAAATTCCCCTTGTCTAGACCTGGAGACTGGGCCAGGGGCTCAGGAGCCTGTACGCACATTCCCCTAGCCAGAGTCCTGGATGCCAGATTTTTCTGGAGGCCCTCAAGGAACCTGTAGGCCATCTAGGCCCTTCCAGAATGAAGCCCTCTGCTGGGAGATAAGGGTCTGCCAGAATTCTCCATCCTGGTCCCACCCTGCTGGAATTTCTCCAGCGAGCCCTCCCTTCAGCACCAGGGAGCCTTCCTGGAGCCACCCCGAGAGACCCCAAGGAGTGGCCACAGGACTGGCCCAGCCCATCGTCACTCAGAATCGTTACTGCTGCCACATTAAGTAGAACAGCCCTTGGGGGTCCCCTGGCTTTGGGCTCTGTCTCCCAAGGTGTCACATGCTTCCCCTAGAACACTTCTCAGGGATGACTGTGGCATCTTCCAGACCTCACCTCCAGCAAGGAAGCCTCAGGTTATCTTGTATTTCCATCAGTCTCAAGAAGGGGACCACTTGGGTATCAAAAGAAAAGCCCAGGATCACCTGCTGGCCCAGACCCCCAAGAGGGAATTTCTACCTAGAAGTCCTTCACTACCCTGTTCACACCTGACACACTGATCCAGCTTCTCTGCTTTGGAAGTAGCGCTTATAAAAACCCAGTACCCCCTGATGGCGTGAGGGCGTTTCCTTTCATTCCTCCATCCCCTGCATCGCCAGGAAGGGGGTGGTGGGCAGAGCTGGCCTCACGGGTGTGTACTTGTGCCATCTCAAAGGGCTCTTGCTTGGTTTAGTGCTCTACTTTGTTGCCTTGAAATATCTTAATAATTTTTGAACGGGGAGCCCACATTTTCACTTTGCATTCTGCACCACAAATCATGAAACTAGTTCTGGGAGTAAGTTGATCTGGGGAAAAGGGGAATACGGTGTGGACCCCCCCTCTTTGGTGGTGTTGGCGGGAGGGATCAGCAAATCAAGATGGCTCCGTGGGGTCTGGCACGGAGGGAGGGAGGGAGGGAGGCAGGTGCACCCCGGCCTGCTGGGGAGGGTCTGAGAGGGCTTCCTGAGAGAGGGTGAGACCCACACCTGCGAGCATCTCAATTGCGTCCTCTCTCCCCTCGGCCAGGCCTGTCCACCTCCTTCCCCATCGATGGCACCTTCTTCAACAGCTGGCTGGCTCAGTCAGTGCAGATCACGGCGGAGAACATGGCCATGAGCGAGTGGTCACTGAACAACGGGCACCGCGAAGACCCTGCTCCGGGGCTGCTGTCAGAGGAGCTGTTGCAAGACGAGGAGACGCTGCTGAGCTTCATGCGGGACCCCTCGCTGCGACCTGGGGACCCTGCCAGGAAGGCCCGGGGCCGCACCCGCCTGCCTGCCAAGAAGAAGCCACCACAGGATGGGCCTGGCTCACGGACGACTCCAGACAGATCCCCCAAGAAGCCCTGGGGCCAGGATGCAGGCAGCGGCAAGGGGGGGCAGGGGCCAGTGGCCCGGAAACCAACGCGGCGAACGCCTTCCCACCTGCCGTCTAGCCCTGCAGCTGGGGACTGTCCCATCCCGGCAGCCCCCGAGAGCCCCCCGCCTCTGGCCCCCGAGGTCCCGGACGAGGCAGCCCCAATGGCTGCCGACTCGAATGTCCAAGTGCCTGGCCCTACAGCGAGCCCCAAGCCCTTGGGCCGGCTCCGGCTGCCCCGCGAAAACAAGGGAACCCGGAGATCGCCAGGTGCCAGGCCTGATGCTGGGACAGGACCGCCCTCTGCTGTGGCCGAGAGGCCCAAGGTCAGCCTACACTTTGACACTGAGACCGATGGTTACTTCTCTGATGGGGAGATGAGCGACTCAGATGTGGAAGCTGAGGACAGTGGGGTGCAGCGGGCTCCCCGGGAAGCAGGGGCTGAGGAGGTGGTCCGCATGGGGGTGCTGGCCTCCTAAGTCACCCCCTACCCCGTCCCAGGCCCTGCCCTGGTCCTCCCGTGAGGCCTCAGCCCAGTCACAACTGCCATTTTCAATCTCTGCTGAGTGTCTCAGACCCTTGAGACTGCCACTCTGTTGTGGTTTTATTTTTAATATAGAGAGAGTTTTGAATTCCACACTGTTGTCTTTTCTCTGTGCTGGCCTAGGACAGTAGGATTCCTTCCACGGCTCTGGCCGCAGGGACTGTCGCAGGTCCTGTGCACCATCCCTGCCTGGGCAGTGCCCTGCCCTGGCCCGCGCAGCGTCGCTGAACTCCTGGCTAGATGTAGGCAAGGTGAAGAAGAGCTCAGGACTCCAGCCCGCTGCCACTGGGTGACACAGACCGTCGTTTGGGCATTATTTCCTGGCAGATGGGCCAGCCCGGGGCCTGCCCCGCCTTGCCCCCAAATCCCACTGGGGTCCATTTGGGGGGTCCTGCTGCACTCCACTGATCCCCAAGGAAGTATGATAAGTGATACCCAGCCAGAGTCTACTCACTGTCACAAGCACAACGAGCTTATACAAGAAAGCACTGAGGGGGCGCAGAGGGCCTGCTGGTTCCAGAGGAACCACAGCTGTTCCTGATCAACCCACATCATCTGAGGCCCGCCCGCCCACCCCGTGACCCCCCACTCCCTTGCTGCTCCGCCCCTGCCAGTGCCCAGCCCGGCGGCTCTGAGAAAGGGTTCCTAGAATCCTTCCTGAGCTGTGCCATTTACTCAGGGGACTCCCAAACAGCCAGCCGCCAGTGCCGGTGGGAGCTGCAAGGGAGGGCCAGTGCCCAGACAGGGGCGTGGGGCTCAGACTCACCCACTTAGAGAATTGCTCTGGGGCTCCAACTTCCTTCCTTCCTTCGGGGCCAGTCTCGGCCGAAGTCTGGTCACTCCCAGACAGCTGACCTGACCAGACCAGACCGTTTGCCTTTCCAAGTTTTCCAGTCCTGCTAAGAGACGAGCTTCTTCCTCGGTTTCCTTTTGGAAACTCCTCCTTCCAACAAGCAGTGGGATCCCGGGGCCTGGGGCAGGTTTCAAGTCTTGCTGGATGTTCCTGGTTCCTCTGTCCCTGTGAGCCGTTACCCCCTCTCCTGGCTAAGCCCTCCCTCCCCACCACCAACCCACCTGCCGCCTTTTCCGTCCCACCCTCTAGGTCCCAGGTAGTTGCTCTGAAGAGTTTCAGTGGAGTGGCCCCAGGGTGATAGCTCAGGGAACAAACACAAAAGGAATTCAGTGAAAACATGGTTTTTTTTCTTTCATGAATTACTCCTGGGTCACTTCCGCCACTGGTGAAGCCAGAACTTCTCCAACAAGAACCTTGCAAAAGTCCAGTGAATCAGTCGAATCATTCTATGGATGCCAAAGAATATTTTGACCATAATACAGCACAGCCTGGACCTGACAACTTGTCACTTGGACTTTTTTTTTTTTAAATGGAGTTCTTTAGCAACAAAGCGTAGAGACATGTTCATTGCACATACCCAAGGAGGCGAGCCCAAGCTCTTGGAAGAGGGTGGTGTTCTGCTGCTGAACTGTTAGAATCGGGAAGCGGGAACCAGCGCTGGATTTCAGATCCTGGGCTGGGCCCACTGTGAGCTTTCCCAAACTCTGAGACTCAACCGGGGGTGGGGGGATAGAATACCGACCACAAAACCAGCATGGCAAAAGTCTTTACCATGTGGTTCCCCCCAACATAAATACACAACGCAAATCAGCGGGATGGGGAGCAGCGTGACCACCCACCCCCCAACTGCAGAACTTTCAAGGTACGACAGTGGCATTGTCATCGACACTCAGTTTCGTGTGAATTTTAGCAAAACAGGAAGCAAAGACAGGACTCCATTCAGAAGATTGGGCAAATCGGTCTGGGTGGAGTGGACTCAGGGTGGGCTTCCAGGATTCTGGGCATCGGGATGGCACAAGGCACCGTGGAGAGTTCAGTCCGCCTGCCTCCTTGGGAGTCACGGCCAGTGCAGCGTCCGCACCAGCGGCCCAACCCCCGTTCTCTGTTTACTGCCTTTGAACAGTCCTCCTTCCTTCCCTGTGCTTTGGGTCACAATCTTTGTCTGTGCTGGATTGCCCAGTCTGACCTCGCAGGAAGCCAGGGGACGAGCTTAAAGAGCAACCGACTCTGCTGGGGGTGGGGGTGGGGTGCCGGGAATGGCTCAGGCCCAAAAGACTCAGCCGTTGGTTGCCCCCTCACCCCTTCATGCGTCCCGAGGCAGAGTCTGGGCTCCGCGGGGGCAGGAGAGAATGCAGCCTGGCTGGCCAGGGTCTGGTCCGGGTTGGCCAGGCTGGGCAGCCACCTCTCTTCAGGGAGCCTCTGCCCAAGTTGGCCTCTGGATTCTTTTCTGGTTGGCTCTTGGCTTTGGACTGGACTCTCCCTGGGGCTGCGTCCTGCATAGGGCCCAGGGATCTGTTCAGCCAGCTGGTGAGGGATGTGGGGGGCCTTCACTCCCAGGCCAGCCCTAGGGCTGTTCTTGCCGGGCAGCTGTCCACCTCTGGGACGCCCAGCAAGGCTACACAGAGGTCAGGGATGCTGGTCGCCACCACTGTCATTTCCTCCATTAGCCACAGCCCCTTCCCTCTCTGGTCTACTGCCCGCCGTGTAACAGCTTTGCCACCCCTGGCGTTGAGGTTGGAAACAGGGAAGAAGGCAGGAGGCCTTTTGCAGGCCTGAGGCTGAGGCAGAACTCCTGCTTGACCACATCTGCCCCCACTCAACTGGCCCTCTTCTGGGAGGGAGAAGCTGCTCTGTTACTCATTCTGTCATTCCCCTTTCTCCCAGTCCTGGCTGCACAGCTCCTCCCTCCCTCTCATCACAGCAAGAAAAGGATACGGTGCACGGAAAGTATTTTTATGGATCATAAATGTATTTTAACGTGAGTAAGGAGAAGAAAGGTAGAAGGCTTTATTTTATTAAATGAGCTCTCTGACTTTGTGACAGTGTGTGAGCGTTTGTAATGTCAGGGTCTCGATTTCCTTCGAGAAGCCACCGAGGTTCCAGACGTGGGTGTCGGACTGTAGGTGTGTGCGCCTGGGCCAGGGTACATCCCCTGTGTCCTTGGCGCATGCATGTCTGTGTGTTGTGTATGGACACATTGTGGGCCTGGCTGGGGCAATTTCTAGGGAATCAGCTGCCCACTACTAACAAACATTGGCGGCAGCTGGACTGGGCATTTCCTTGCTCACTGCCACATGTGGCCAGCCTCTGCCCATTCCCAGAGCTCTGCAGAATGGTCTGGATGCCTGTAGCAAGGCCCTGGGGGAGGCCACTCCCCATGCCCCTGGCCCAGCTGGCCACATTGGCCAAGGAGCCAGGGCTGGAGTCCGTTCTTTAAGGCACTTCCTGCCACCTTGTCCCTCAGACGCACCAACACTCTGTGCTCCACAAACGACTTGGGGTGGGGGGATGATATGAATGTCACAGGAGGCGACACCTTCTGTCCTTGTTTCAAAGAAAGTGATGTGCCATTTGTTAATATACAAGAGAAATACTGAAAATATATTGAAAAGAGCAATTTTAAATTATTTTTGGCTTATGTTGCAATATTTATTTTCTTGTATTAGAAAAGATTCCTTTGTAGAGAAAAAAAATGTATTTTTCATTAACGCAAAGACCTATTTCTCCTTTTTGTACATTGTCCACGTTCGCTCCCCTTAACGAGCAATAGAATGTACGGCCGCCTTGCTGCGGCCGGAGCCCGCGCGCCCTGCATGATTCTGTGTTGCCGCTGCCGCGTAGCTCCCACCTCCCATCCTGTCCTGCTCACTCATGGGGGTTTCCGGACCCCGGCCCCCACCAGGGCCTGTGTCTCAAGGAGCCCTTTGCACTCCTCGTGTGTTGGCAAACGCAGTGAATAAAGCAATGTTTTCCGTGCCGGCTGTGGTGTGAGGCTCTGTTGCACTGGGCGGGGGGAGGGGGTCCACACCCCACAGCCAGCAGGAGGCCTGGAGAACCAGTGAGGGCTCTCTGCATGTCCCGCGGGACCTCATGCTTCCTGCAGAGGAGTCCTCTAGCGATGCTCCTCGTCAGTGCCCAGAAGGCACCGGGGGCTGTGCTCAAGGGCAGTATTTTGTTTGCTCCTCGCTGTCCGCATCCACCGGGATTCAGAGCGGATGAGGGAGGCGCCCAGAGCCACAGCTGTGATGAGAGGAGGGGTTCTGCATCACCAGCAGGACTGCTGCGCTCGGCCCACCCCGCCGTGAGCCACCCTCCTGGGACAGTGGGAAGGTTTGCGGACAACCTTGGGCATCTGTCCCTCCATCAGGGAAGGTGCTGGCCCAGGTTTGTTTTCCATTCCTGATTGCCTGAGCGCCTGCTCAGTGCCGGACTCTGGAAGCTGTTAGGTAAGTGTAGCCACCATCCCTGCCCCGCAGCTCACTGTCCAGCAGGGACTCAGATGATGAGGGGACAGGGAGTTATGGAGGCCTAGGCTGGTTTGGGGATGGGAGGCATTCAGGATGGGTTTCCTTAAGGAATGGAGACCATTCATTCATCCATTCACCAGTGAATCTCGGCCATATACCTCATTCTGCCAGCGTGCTGGCTTGTATACCAAACGTCACCAGGATCCTGCCATCCTAGAGCTTCCAGGCAACAGAGACCTGAAGAATAAACGGTTGCTTGGTCAAGGGCAGCTGGTTGGAAGGAAAGGCCAACAAGCATTCCTGAAACAGCTTGGACATGTGCAAAGATGTATCAAACTATGCAGAGTAGGAAGGGGTCTTGAACCCCCCCTGAGAGCCCCAGGCGGGCAGTTTGGGAAGAGGGTGGAATTGGGACTCAAGGAACTTAGCTTCTGGAGCCACCGACTTCATTGTTTGCCACTGAGAATTGCCCCGTGTTGTCACTGCCATAGGCAGTAGCCCCCAAGGCTACCTCCAGATCCAAGGTTCTGCGGCCACAATGCGGAAGGCATGGGCAGGGAACCTGGGGCTCCGGATTGGCCAGCCCACCTGTCACAGGGGCCAGCTGCCCTGGGCTCACACCCCAGCACCCCAGCCTCTTGGTCCTCCCTCCACCAGCACCACGCCATGCGCGCTTGGCCACCTTGGTCCAGAAGAGTGAGGCAGGCGCCCTGCTGCCAGACCCACACCTGAAAGCTGACCCGGCTGCGTGCGACTCGTGGGGCCGGAGAGGTC